ACCGAAAACAAACCTCATCTTATTTAGAAAAATCATTGATGATCTTAAACGGTTCACCTCATAATGTTATATAGGAATTAATGTTTGCATATTTTGCCATCTTATCGCTCCAATGTTTTAAACGACTTTAATAAAATATTCTATAAATTCAAAAGTAAACAATACGTTGAAAACTGATATCTTAACTGAAACTACTTGGCTAAATTTAACCAAACTCTGCCATAACCAGCAATGGGGTATCTAGTGTTACAAATTTGTCCGATGACACCACCTGCTGACAAACATGGCCGACATGGCTACAAATCTGACGTAGCAAAATGTTCAGACTTATAAGATCTACCTTTTGTCTGTTGACACCAAAACTGTCTCGATAATTATAACAGATATACAGAAACTTGAAATAACAAAAATGATCAACAAGACAAAATCTACAAATAAGTACTTGAAATGCCTTGTATCTTGAAAACTATAACAGAAAGATAGATAGAAATTTTAAACATCAAAAATGATTCGCAAGACAAGATCTACAAATAATCTATCATAGCCGAAATCTTCAATCGACTCGTTATTGGAGTTATTGCCCTTAAATCATAATTTTTACAATATGTTGCATTCTTTTTCTTGATATCTTGAAAACTATAATAGATAAATAGAAACTTTAAAAATGAAAAATGATTAGCAGGATAAGATCTACAAATGCGTCAACATGACTTAAATTGTCAACTCTTAACAGAGTTATTCCCATTTAATGATGATTTTTACTCTAAAGTGACCTTTGTTGAGGATGCAGGTGAACGACACGGGTTCTTTAGAGCCTTTTGGTTTATTCCACGTTAATAATGTATTATGAAGTTATTTGTGACAAGACTGTTCAATTATGTCCTAGTTAAAATACTTTTAATTTAATGCAATAATTTTTATTATTTGCATACTGCTTCTATTAAATCACTTATTCAGACTATAACCGCTACCCAAATAAGAGAGAGTTTCACCGTTCTCGTCTTTGTGATTATAGTAAGTATCCAACATTTAAAGTAAGACATAGGAAAACGATAAAAACATAGATATGGTTATCGGTACAAAAATAATCTTGTTCTTGAACACAACATAAGAAAACTAAACAGTTCAAATGAAGAGAAGGACAACTATTTTTGTCGATATAATATTTATTCAAGGCCAGTTCCAAATGATTTATTTACCCAGTATGATTAAAGGATTCATAGAGAATTCTTGATAAATAAAAGCAAAAATATCGTCAAGGTTATCATGAGTGGTATTGCCTTTTACAAATAAATGGAATTAATATAGTCCGGCAGATTGGTGAAAAAATTGTGGGTTTGATTAAAGCACCAAATGTGGCATGGTAGTAGTCCTGGGTATTTCAAAAAATTCTTTTTCCAAGAGGGCCGCCATAAAACATCGAAATCAGCATATATCACTTATATAAGTTCAACATCTTGGCCAAATTTGGCATGACAGTAGTGTGGGGTGTTTCAAAAATATAAGCTATGGACCCACCTTGCAATTTCAGTATGGCGGCTTTTTCAAAGATGGCCGGCATAAAATATCAAAATCAACAATTTTTTTTTAATATCACTTATACAAGTTAAAATTTAGAATTTTAGTAGTGCTGGATGTTTCAAACAATATTACCTATGGACCAAAGTTGAAATTTCAAAATGGCGGCTTTTTCCAAGATGGCCGCCATAAGATATCAAAATCAACACATATACCTTATATAAGGTTAAAAAGTGTTTTGGTTTTACGTACCATAAGTAACACTAAGTGCCCTATGTGTATGCAAAATATGTACCCAAACAACATCAAAACATTTTAGAAGAAGATATTGAAAATCGTAACTACGGTACCATTTTTGCTGAAAGGTAGTCTACAACGAGGGATCACGTGTAGATACTGGCGTTATTCCAATATTTAAGCTAGCTTAGACTTAACTAGAATGAAAGCTTCTCGATTTGAACAGATTTCTTTATGATTACTTAGAAGGTGGAAGAGGACATAGTAATAATCTAAACAAAATTGCAATAATCTGAAGCAATTATACAAGCAACCGCAACACTATGCTTGTATGACAACGATACGTAAATAAGCTGCGCATACAGATACAAAAAGACATAATGTAGGCTTTCACACAGTCATCAAAAAACATTACTTGAATATCGTTTGGGCAAATATTCAAATGCACTCAAATTATTCCATTTAGACAAATACGACGCTATCTATTTCGGAATTACTTCTATTTTATTCTTTTATAATACTACATTCAACTCAGGCCGCACTTAAACATATTTTGGTTTGCCCAAACCCTACCCAAAAGGAGAGACAGTGGGTAGGTAGGTAGGCATTTTCTTTTTTTCAGCAAGGAGAAATTGAAGTGTCAGATGTATTTTAGTCTTCACGCCTATCTGATTAAAAAAATCCACTTTTTCACATCAGGACAATAACAGATTTTAAATAGGCATCTGTTTTCTGGGTATGTAGGGTTAGGGCAAACAAATATATTCTTTTTTGTGGCTTCAAGTAGAACCATCTCTTAATTTATATGACTCTTCTACTGTATGCTAGGACCAGTAAAGGAGGTACTAAATAACAAAATGTACAGTTTACATTAGTCGTTTATGTATGATCCAATTATTCATTTATCTACAGTGACTGTACTAGAATATTCCATCTATGAAACATTTACTATTGAATATGTGGATCCTTTCGCGAATGCTGGTGGTTTTACATCAGCAGCCATGGACAATATTGACAACAGCAGGAGTTTAACTACGGCTAAATAATCGTTACATAGAACAAGTATTTTCATATTTCAGCATTTTTCAGTCTAACTTAGATAATTTGTCATAACCAAATACTTAAACTAATATATTAGGCGACAGCACAACTGTTATTATTGCTATAACTTAGTAACTAATAACATTAGTATAGACTCAGATATTTCCTAGCACTAACCAAATATAGCATTGCTTTTCATACTTACATCTAGTAAAAACCGTTTCATATTGAACAGCGGTATACTATTATTGCCTTTATTTATGGACTTGCACTTTGTCAATTGTTTAACTAGAAATACACGTATGCCAACCTGGTATAACTAGTCAATTGTGCAACTCTATCCTTATATGGTATACATAAGTTAACAAAATGATAACATATATGGGTTGAAGCAGATGATAATGAAAACATTAAGTATGTCTGGACATCATTCCTCGCATTAAAGCCAAGACAAATGGCCACCCGCCTTTACATATCAGTCTGCATTGAACAATGTTTCAGGAAGAGATTGCTAGTCGTCCAGCAATGTGTTAATTATTTTTCGAGACATTTATCAACTATCACTTGTGATCAATCTTTTTTTTTTTTTTTTGCTGTTGCCAAATCGGAAATATGGAACTGGGAAAACACACTTAAGCACACAAAAGAGTTGTTCAGGTATTCATATAGGAATGACATTGTTTAGAACCTTACGTGATTGGTTAGAAAGCTGTAACCGAACAAGTCCACTTAATCACAACTGATCTATAACATTAATGGTTGACCTGGACATTTTGATGTGAGATCATACTAGTAGTTAAGAGGTGTAATTATACTACTTATTCAGTGGTTTTTAGCATTTTCTCATCCTAATTATCCTAGTACCCGTGTGCGATATTATGCGATGTAACTATACAGTTCAATTGTACTTAAACATGATTTGAAAATGGTAAATTTAGATCAAGCCATGAGTAGAATTACACACTTGTAAAAAGAGAAGGTTTGGCAATCGAATTGAATGTTATTATTAATATGACACAAAAACAGCATATGAATATGGAGTCTTGTACAGAAATGGATATAGTAATTATAAAGTTTCAATCCACCTTATAAGCATAAGAAAGCTTTAGCTTAGGGAATGTTTCGGTCTTTAATCCGTAGTACTACTTCAAGTGAATGCGGATGGCAGATACCTTATTGGATATTTATCACAAAGGTATCAGCATTTTTGAATGACCTAATAAAATGTGGTTGAAAGATATTGAAACGGTATATAACAATATGCGAGGACAATGACGTTATGTACAGTGCTTTTCAAATGTGGTGAAGAGTTGTGCAGAACTAAATGGGATGTCCTTGATAAACATTTTGAAAACTGCTGTGAAAATATGTTGTTGTTTAGATGATAAAGAAGATGAGGAAGACACCATGATACTAAACAATCATTAGAAAAACAAAACCAGACACCAGCATGGATAAAAAACACGAAAAGACTATCATCATTCAAGACATCTCTACACAAAAATATAAAAATTGAGCAATACCAACCCCTCATAAAACAGGGGAAGATCTCAGGTGTTCAAGAAGGGTCAGCATCCTAGATGCTATTGTTTAAATATCTTTATAAGTTATATCCAGTATCACAAAATTTAAAACATGTTGGTATATGTAAAGTATCTAAAATTCGACTAAATGTGAAAGTTTCAAATGAAATAATGTTTTCTATGTCTGTACGATGAAAAAACACGACTTTCATTGATTGACAACACATATGAAAAAAAGAACAAATAACACAACATTGATAGCATGAACAACACCAATAACTTTTAATCGAAACTAGCGGTCAACGCAGGTTTTCCAGAAGGTGGTGTAGTTTCTGGCCATATGTTAGCACGAGTGGTATTGCTCATTAGTAGAAAATTGGTAATGAGTCGTATTTATTAATCATCTCGATCCACAGTCGAGGAAAAAGATACTTGGAATGTGGCAAGGAGAAGTGGAACATACCGTATAAATTATCATTTGTGACTGAGATGGTACACAGTGAAATAAATCCTAAAGGCGTCCTGAAAACGTTCGAATGTTTCCGTCTATGGGATCTTTGATTAAACTGTCTTGCAAGCAGCATCGATGTATCATGGAAACAAAATCCCTAGAACATATTATGAACTGCAAATAGCAATTCGAGGAAAGGAATACAAATGATACATAGTACACAACTGATATACTGAAAAATGGAAAACTTTATTATGACAAACAATGTTTACGTGTCAAAAAGTCACACACAGTATTTAAAACACTAAACAAGTCCAATGCTTCCCGAATAGTGTGTGGAACAGGGGTATAATCTTGTGGCAAGCCTGTCAAGAGGTTAACATCTTCAATGAAATTTGCAGAACATCCCCTGAAAGGGAACCTTTCTGTGAACATATTTCCCAGTTCACTTATTGCTTGATCTGTACATGGCAAAGGGAAAGACTGATCGACTTTACCAAATAATTCAGGTTGGTAATATAATACATCTGGTTTGCCAGTAGGAGTTTATAATTGGTTTCGACGTTGAGCACGAACAGTGTGAAAGTTCCATGATGTCATAAAATCTTGTAGCTGAGACTGAATAATTGGAAGAAAGTAATATCGTATGCATTCAATATGGATAGGATTGTGATTATTCAGGACTCCAGTGTTACTCATTTCAGCAAACACATTCCTCCAAAACTGTGTAAAATGCATATTCAGCGTGCCCCAAAGTCTTTCGATTCTTAGATTGGCAGTTGAAGGCCCAACTAAAAACCTTTTTCTCCCAGACATCCTATCACCGTGGTCCAGTCGTAGAGCAATCTGTAATCTTGCATGATTACATTTTCTGTTCCTGCATCTGATCTGATAATAGCCGGAATGCGGCGATTTTCCTTGATGAAGTTGATGTAAAAGTATGCAATGCATCTGTGGTCATTGTTTAAAGGCCCAGCTTTTAGCCACAGGACTTTTCTGGAAAATCCGTCGATCCCCCATGAATTGCGATTCCATATGGTTTAAGTTTATCGTATCCGTCCAAGTGTATTAAATAATTGGGACCCAGACTAAAATACTGCCTTCTTATAAGTCTTCTTTGCGACCTTAGGGCGACCTCCCCTCTATCTATTTCTCTCATGCATATTCGAACGATTTCTTGGGACACGTGTATACCTCGAAAAATATCAAGCTATCGCCACATCGCTCAATATCCCGGATTTACTAAACATTGACAGCGAAGTTCAAAAATACAATTGATCACTGTTTGCAACGGTATTTGACGTCTTCTCAGGTTCAGGCGTCTTTTCATCCGCTCAATTGTTGATATACTAAAATACATATTATGAACTAACATCAAAAATCCACATATTTCTTTCGTAGTGTACCGAAGATCATGATAATAGCGAACAAGTTCTTGGGTGTTTGCAATGTCTCCGGGCATACCCCAAGCAAGACAGAAATGCATCACAAGGAATGTTACCTGTAAAAAAATACATAGTTAGTCATATACATTATATTTAGACATCTGTAATCTTGCAACAGCACCTTGAATCCATATATGTTAATACAAACCTTGTAATATGTGCATATTACATTTAATAAAAAAAATTAACAAAACTTACCGTTATCTTGATGATATATTTTCGTTAAATAATCAAGAATTTTCTAAATATACAGCCGAAATTTACCCAAAGGAGCTTACTTTAAATAAATCTAATGTCAACAGTAGTAGTTGTCCATTCCTAGATTTAGATATTTCTATTTATCAGGGTAAACTTTACACTAAAATTTACGACAAAAGAGACGTTTATTTATTCCCTATTGTTAATTTTCTTTTTCTTGATGGCGAAGTTCCATAGGCTCCATCTTACGGTGTTTATATATCCCAACTCGTTCGCTATGCCCGTGTCTGTAGTGGGGTAATATATTTCAATGAACGTAATCAGTGTATCACTAGTAAATTATTGAGTCAAAGGTTTCGTTACCACAAATTTCTTAAATCATTCACAAAATTCTTTAATAGATATAAAGATTTGGTTAGAAAATTTGGCTGTATAAATACACAGACAGGCCTATTCAAAAATTTGTTTTATATACTTGTTATTTAGCTATAGACATATATATTTATAGTACTATGAACCCATACGGTCCTACGACCTGTCTTTACTTTTATTTTGGCATTGTACAATGTCATGTCTTCTCAGGCTGTTATGACGTCTATACACTAACTACTTTGGATGTGTATTGATTGATATTTAGTCTAGAACACATAATTTCTATATCATTTGTTTTGGGTTTTGAACTAGCTTTCAGTAACTGCGAGTACTCTCAGATATCTACTTCGTTTTAATTGTCCGATGATACTATTAATTTCTTATCATTTTCCTCGTGATGTCCTTTATGATTAATTGTATTATCTTACCTGTGTATTCATTGGTTGGTGACTTTATGCTACATGGTAAAGGTCTGATGAGTTAAACCAATTTCAAAAGAGTTTTAAATGTTTGTTATTCTGTTGTGCTGTAACACCACTATCCCAGGTTAGAGGGAGGGTTTGGATCCAGTAAATACGTTTAACCTCGCTGCACATATACTATATGTACCTGTCCCAAGTCAGGAGCCTGTAATTTAGAGGTTGTCGCTTGTTACTGGGTGTACTATTTGTTTTTCGTTTATTGTTTTTATATATAAATCTGGCTGTTAGTTTGTCCCGTCTGAATTGTTTCACATTAGTAATTTTTGGGACCATTTATAGCTTACATTGCGGCTCAAGGCTCCACACTGAAGGCCGCACTGTGACCTATAATTGGCTATGTACTCTGCTTTTGGTCTTGAATGGAGAGTTGTCTCATTGGCTATCATACCATATCTGTTGTGTTTATATAAGTTCTACACTACAGAAAACTGACCAACTACAGATATTAAAGTGCAAAAATTACAATCAAAATTTAACGCTGTTACATTTATAATGGAATGCTATGCGACTGTTATCCAAATGAGAGGTTTAGCCAGCTTCAAAACCAGGTTTAATCCGCCATTTTCTACACACTCAAAAATGCCTGTACCCAGTCAGGAATATGACAGTTGCTTTCCATTCGCATGATGTGTTTGAGCTTTTTATTATTTTGTCATTTAATTAAGGACTTTCCATTTAGATTTTTTCTTGGAGTTCGGTATTATTGGTTTTTTTTTTACTTTTTACAACCCATGGTATATCCTAAGGAGCTTCTGCAGATTTGGATATTAGTTGTTCGTACTATTAAAACATTGCAATACCATTGACTGCATATTTTACCGGTAACACCTTGTCAAATATGGCAATATGTATTTGAACTTTCACGCGATCCTAATTCGATATTTAGTATTGAGAAATGGATAAGCATACCTTGAAAGACATTGTCCGAAGCATTGTACCCTTTCCACTAGCCTAGCAAAGATCTGTAGAAGCACCGTAACTTAAGACTGCATGGCTCGTCTTTAGAATTTATAGTCAAATTCACATCATATATGCTAATATGCTGTTATTTTTAAGACAATCTGACTTAGAATAAGTATATATATTTTAAACAACACGATAAGATGACTTGTTACTTGTCCACTTGTTGAGAAGTTGTGTCGTCAAAATGAAATTTAAAAGTAAACAAGATGAAAACAAATCATATACTACACACAGCTAAAGTCATATTTTACCAATGATATTTAATGTATACTTTATTCACTCGACATGTATACAAAATTAAGTTGATTTTTAGATATTAAGAGAGATATCAATTCAACAAGAACCCATATTTAAGTTAACTTGTAAAAATGTTGTATAGATTTTGACTTAAATATGTCAATATGAAATATAAACTTTTGACCCATTTAAGCTTCCATAAATAACCACCAATAAATAAATATTTCCCAGCCACGTCCCTTAACTTATTACGAATATTGCCAAGTTACCACTTTCAATCTGACTTATACTGTTCTTTGAAGAAATATCGTATTTCGTTTTCTTCTTAACAGTAATAAGGTTACGTTTCAAATTCAAAATATTCTTTAAATCTCCATAATTTCGGTTGTCAATTTCTACGTTTCTTTTGCCTATTGACCGATAATCAAACTAGATTCTATAAACATATAATTCTAAAAAAAAATCCACGGAAAAATAAATAATTAGATTTAATGGAGTAGTGGATGCATTTATAAGAAAGATAAGACCTTGAACATTGATATAAGCTTATACCACCAGATTTGATCTCTAGAGATAAGGTCATAAAACTTCTTTGTAAAGATATGCATCCGGTTTGTACCCTTGTTCTTGTCAAAAGACCAAAAATACTGATACTTTGTCATACTAATAGTCAAAAGTAGTTATTATACATTGACAATTTGTTATAAAGTTATATTTTATTTTGAGTGAATGAAAGTTATATATTGAAACTAAATAATAAACGTTTGTACAAAGTATTAGAGAAAAAATATGTTCGTTTTAAAGATTTAACATAACTATGTTTACCTACATGTACGTGTATTTCAATAAGAAAAGTTGGAAAATCCCTCCTATTTACGATACTTCCTTATAGCAAATATTTCTCCGAAAACTTAAGTCACTCCAGTACAAAAAATGGATTTTTTATTGGTTATTTTAACAGAATCGCTGTAGTTTGAAATATATATTTTTCCTTTTAAAAGTTTGTTCATGCATTAATTGTATTGTTGTGTTAATTGTTTTAAAACCATTCATTATTGTATGTTCAGTGAAGTAAAGAGGCGTCATTTTGAATTATCATTAAATTCTTATTTCTTTGAAATTGTCCTCAAACTGTATTAAGTTTTTCAACGTAAATGACTTTTATAGTAATATAGATAATGAATAACATACTTTGTATCCTCCAATAAGTAAACTGTTATACTAATAACAGGTATACAATCTTATTTTGCTAGATTTGTATATTAAAATATAAGGTCTAAAATTTACGGACACCATCACGAGTTGGTTGACGGTTATGGAATATCTGTTTCACAGATGATGACTGATATGTTCCTATTATCGTAACCACAATCTGTCCTCTTTTCCCCGAATGTGACTACCGAATTAGAATTGTTCTTATATGAGCAACACGGGTGCCCAGTGTGGAGCATGATCTGCTTACTCTTCAGTAGCACATGAGATCACCACCGGTTTTGTTGGGTTCGTGTTGCTCAATATTTAGTTTTTCGTGTTGTGTTTTGTATACTGTTTGTCCTTTGGTCCTCTTCTTTTTGACATGGCGTTGGTAGTTTATTTTAGACTTATGAGTTTGAATGTCCCTTTGGTCTCTTTCGCATCTCTTTCAAGGTACACGAATAAAATTCGCCTATGGTGAGCGAACGACAATGATCAAACTACTGTTGGGGAGGTCGTGTTAAAGCCATGTTGATTTCTTTGAAAATGAAAGACAACGGTTCGGAATACAAAATATAACATTATACCACCAAGATCAAAATGCAGGATAAAAACTTGTAAAGGTTATTGTAGGAAAATAGAACTTTTACTTGTTTTTAAATAAAAAAAAAATCCCTCTATCTTTTTTGTGTCCTTGTTCTTTAGTTAATTAAAATAAATTATATATTTTCCAACACTGTAGGTAGACTGTTTATGTACATACCCCTCCGTGTTTAATTTCCCTACAATCTAAGTATAATACCGTATTTTCAAACCGACTCTCCAACTATTTGAACTGTAAGCTTAGAGGATTAACATGTAATTAGAAATACGCAGCTATTTTTGCAAGTGTACTTTTTTAGTATCATATCTTTACAGTACTAAAAATAAACCTAAATAATGTATGATTTATTAAGGTACCTTCTCAGTACTTTAAAAGTATAGTACTTCAAATGTACACATGCAAAAGAAGCTGTGTGTTTTGTACAAATTAATCCTGTCATTATGATTTTATAATCAATTGTATTTAATACCTAGTTTTACTTCAAATTACTGTAAAAATAGGAAGATTTGGTATGATTACAAATGAGACAACCATACCTTATGGTAAGCCATAAAAGGTCATCATATAACAATTCAAAATGTAAAAAATATTATACGAAAAAACCACAGACATTATTTCTGTACAAAAACAATGAACTAAACACAAAGGTAATTGACAGCCACCAACGACAGCCACTGAATTACGAAAATTACAGTTGTTCCTCATTTAGATTAAAGATAAAGATTAATACAGAACGTGGCTGGAGAAAACATGTTTGTAAGAGCTTTCCCACCACCTGGAACAGTGAGGAAATAGCAAATCTTAAGAATAAATTGTAAACATTTGAACAAATCTTGACTCAACATCATCGAGCACAAAATACAACTAACACTAATTAAAGATACAAAGTGCCGATCTAAGAGTATATGAAGTTACCGAAAGCTTTTTCAAAGCCAGTTTAATAATAACATTAACGGTACCAATTTTACTGCTCCAGATGCACACACAAATCAACTTTCCCACATTAAATACATTTGCTCTCATCAGCCTCTATTACAAAGCACTGTTATAGCCTTTCTTGTGAAATTTACTTGTATTAAAAAATAAAAGATATCCGTCATCATGTTGATGCAATGTATCTAAACAATTTTAGACGTGCAATTATATATTGAAGCCCTTTAGAGATGTCTGCTGGTTTTTGTCGGTGTAACGCTGTCGTATTGTCCTAGACCGCATATTTCATTTTATCATAGTTGTTTTATTTTAGAAGGGTTTCGCCGGAACACAATCTCTTTTTTCATAATTGAACCTGATAATTGGAGTCTTTGTATTTCGGTTGCAACTGTAATGGTTAATTTTTTGGCAGTGAATGACTCTGTGTAATACATTTGATCTGTCACCTTCTGAAACAAATTGAGGAAGAAAACAGTTACATTTATTATAAATCTTTCTTGAAATATTTGAATTCACATTTCAGACAGATTCATTTTCAAGATAACTTGTTAGACTATCATTTAAGTTTCATACTAATGATTATAAAACATTATTCGTTTTATTGCAATATAAACATTTTTTTTACAAACATTACAGACATTATTTTTTTTATATTAAAGACACGATAGACGTATTTATATCACTTTTACCAGTAGTAGTTGCGTATTCACACAAAACTTATTAAAACGAAAATAGTATTATGAGTTTGAATATCCCTTTGGTATCTTTCGACTCTCTTTTTCACCACACACAGCTATAAGTTAAATACTAGAAAATGGTTAATCGTTCAATGGTCAAGCGAATAAATTGAAGTGCCTCATTGGTCGCAATTATTGAAATACCATGTATAAAAAGCATGACAGTAATTTAAGACAATATATTATGTATATCATATCACTGATACTATCAGTAAAATAAATGGTACGTAAACTAATATAACCGAATAAAAAGAAATAGAATTCTTGAGAAAAATCGAACAGCAAAGTCGTTTAATTCACGATTTTTTGTAAATATTTACCTGATGTCACGTATATGGTATATTGTCTGATGTTAGGGTAACGTCTAGTAGTAAAATTCAAGATGGGATAGGTTGAGTGGTATTGATACCAAACATCATGGCTTAAATCAAAATATAGGGGGAAATTGCAAGTTTTGTTTTTTATCTTGAAAACCGCTATATTTCGAAAAAAAACAAGATTAACAAATAACTTAACATGGCCGAAATCATGGGTCGACGCCTTTTAGCCCCTAAATGACGAAGTTAATAAAGAACAACATTTAAAGCAAAAATAATCCTCAGGACAAGATTACAAATTTGTCAAATAGACAAAATCGTTGGTCAGCCCTTCATAGGAGTTGTTGCCCTTGAATGATGTTTTCCCCCAATTAGGGCGTTTTATGCAACAGTTTTAATTGGTAAATAAAGCTTGAAATAGCAAACAAATATCAATAGGAAAAGATCTAGGAATTAGCCACGATAGAAGAAATCATCAGTTGACTGCTGATAGGAGTTAAGGCTTTTCAAGAAGATTTTGTTTTAACACAATTTTTGTAAATTTTTCAAAACTATAATATATCAAGAAACACTGTAAACATGAACAATGATTAACACGACAAGAACTACTATTGATTCAACATGGGTTTGGTAAAAGCTACAGAAGATAAACAGCAAATATTATCAGCAAGACAAGATCTACAAATAGGTCAACAAAGCCGAAATTATAAGTTCACTACTTTTTATTGTTATTGCCTTTCAATGAAGATTTGTTCATCCATTTCTTGTATTTTGGGCAAAAAGCATAGTAGAAAGGGATAACCTACAAACAGAATGAACAATCAGCAATACAAGACCAACAACAAAGAGCTCTTAATTTAAAGTAATTTGTTTAGAACGATAACTTTCATTGGATGTTGGAAGGGTAAGATTCCACGTTCTACCAGTGCGTAACTAAATAAAGCCACCATTTTGAATTTCGATTTTTTTTTGTATGTAATTTTCAAAAGGAAAACAAAAAAAAAATCACGGCGAATTTTGGTCTTGTTAATTGACTAACTTATTATTTTAGATTAAAAAAAAAAAGAGCATGCATATCTAAAACACTTTTTTTACTTTAAAATATCATCAATGATCAGATGTTTTAACAAAACAAGATACTTCCATGGCTATTATTCTGTGAATTGCACCAGTTTACAACATCAACATACAATCCTTTTTCTATCTTCCTCGGAAACATCATTTGCTTTGGCACTTATACCGCTGACACCTATAAGTATCATATAGACTGCAATGTTGACACATTGAATTTTGTATTTCAATTATTTCTGGACAATGCGATCTGGGAAAAATTGGCTCAAAAAGATAACAGATTCTCCTTGTTTGTATTTCATACCTGAAAATATACAAAAAATAGTGTCATGTGCTACGGATAAAACATTGTTCTT